AAATTTCTCCTCAGTTCTAAGATGCTTCTCTCCTTGATTAGTTTCCACCCCTTGCTTCTTGTCCTACCCTCAGGTGCCTTGGGGAGTAGCTTGACTCCCTTTTCTTTGTGGCAACTCTGAGATATTGGAACACTGCTATCATGTCTCCCTTAGTCCTTCTTTTCTTTAAACTAGACATACCCAGTTCCTGCAGCCTTTTTTCATATGTTTTCGCCTCCAGTCCCCTAATCATCTTTGTTGCTCTTCTCTGCACTCTTTCCAGAGTCTACACTCTTTCTAGAGAAATCCTTCTAAGTTGGTTCTGCAACTAAATAAGCCTTCTTTCAACACAAACAATTATTCATTTCTTAACCATCAGCCAGATCTATCTGTCACTGCTTCATTCAAGCTCCTGCTTCTGATTTTACTTTGGGAGTAGTGTTGCCTCAAGTTTATGAACAGTCTTCTCCTTGTGTGCACTGCTGATAACCCCTGCCACCCCAAAATGATATTTTTTAGAAGTTTAAGGAATAGCTTTAAGTTATCAAGAATGCCTTTCACCTTTTGCCCTACCTCTTCAAGGGTGCTAGATATCTCATTGAGATTTGAATGAATGATAAGACTTACAACCTTGTGATTTTGAATTACATATTCAAACACTCATGTCTCTATTTGAATAAAAAGGTAAACGCCAAAAGGTGTAAGGAACAAAAGATCGATTGGTATTTGATAAAATGAGGTAAAAAAGAAAAGTGAACAAAAATCAAAGGAGAAGGCTTGGCTTGAATATATAAAGGCATCTGAGTTTCTTCTACATAATTGGATACACAAACTAATTTTGGTAAAAAAAATAAAGTTAATAAAAAGTAGACTATAACTTTGATGGGAAATTGTGAAATTAAAGGAGAGAAAAAGGATTTTTTTAAGGGAATTATTTCGCTCCATTGATTTTGACTATCTCAATGATACCCTTTACATATTCTGACTAAAACAAAACTTGGATATGAACTGTTAAAAAAAATTAGAAAATATTCCATCTGTTATATAGGGATGATTTGAAACTACTTAGGGGGAAAAACAAACCTGAAATTGAATCCTTAGTATTGTAAGGATATAGAATGATAATAACAACATGAAATTTGGAATTGATATGTACAATGCTCAGTATAAAAAAAAAGGAAGAACTGATCAAAATGACAATATACTATTAAAATGTGAATTTTATCTTTGCCTATGGAGGAAAACTATAAATATCTAGAACAGATAACCTAGATCAAATAACAGCTTGCATGGTAAAGTTTAAAAAGAAATCCAGTGCAATCTATCTGTCTGTGTGTGTATGTGTGTGTGTTTTTCGTAGTTTTTCACGGGTGTAGGTATGCTGGCCTTGTTGTTTTGTGTTGTAACAGCCTGGGTGGTGGGTGGGGCTCGTTTGTTGACTAGGGCTGGTTTCCAGATGTCTGGTAGGCGGGAGGGATTGTACATATCAATTCCAAATTTCATGTTGTTATTATCATTCTATATCCTTACAATACTAA